CTGGTCCATTACCTTCCGAACAATCCCTTCCACGGATTCGTCGGAACATTCGTCGATGGCCCGTACTCTTCCTAAAGACCGAGAACTTTGTTTCGCGGCCTCAAATTCTAGGGCACGTGCTAAAGCATCCACCAAGTGCGTTGGGTGGGCTAGGAGAAGTGCTTGTCTTGTCTCGTTGTCACGTAAGCCGTCGGAGAATGCCTGTACTGCCAACCGCTCCATAACATTCTCTGGCGTAGCAGGGTACGCAAGGCGAACGAGGCGGGCTACGTCGGCTTCAAACTCCTGCAGAGACTCATTTGACTTTTGAATGCGATTTTTTAGCTGGGAATGATAGACATAATTCCAAATGAGCTTGGCCGTACCTCATTTCTAAATGTCGTACCAATTGCTGATAATCTCCTGTTCCGATGGTGACAATGTTCGCAGGATATCAGTCGCATCTCGCAGTGCGACAGTCAAAGCGGTAGCCTTTTCAGCGATTGTCCATCCGTTCGCCTCTCGCAGCGGCCTCAAACTGGCAAAAATAATTGGCCCAAGCGGTTTTTCCGTCAAACTGTGGAGGCTTAATAACTGATTTTGAGATATACTTATTTTCGACTAGTTTCGGTGCCTCCGATGTTTCTTGACATTTTGGTGAATTTGCCTTTGCTATTTTTTGTTTTAAAATTTCGATTTTTCTATTTACATCTTCCTCAATCTCTGTTATTTTATTGTTGAAACTTTCTTCCAAAATTACTATTTTATTATTAAAGCTGGCCTGTATATCTTTAGAATTTTCGATGATCTTATCTTCTAATGTATTGATTAAATCCTGGGAATTTTCCATAATTACTAGTACTACCGGCGATGTCCACGGGCTGTTAGATGGTTCGATGACACCCTCTTCTTTCATTTCTCGAAGGATTTTATCAGCTTCTTCACGTTTGGCGAGCGGAAGTCTTCTCGATTTTGTTTGATTGGTCGTGCATCTCCGGTATCAATTTTGTGTTGTACTAAATTGGTACGACCTCTCTGTCCTGCTTCTCCTTTATCAAACACATCTTGATACTTGATTATCAGGTTTCTCAATTTTCTTCTATTTTCGGGATAATCCTTTAACGTTTACTAACTCCTTCACCATTTTGTCCGGAATTTTTGAAGTCGCAACTTTGGAGGCTTCCACGCTTCGAACGAATGAGGAGACTGAACAACAGTACCCTAAGAGGGTTCCCTTCTTCAAGGATACAGAATAATAATTCGTGTTCATTACTCTCACCGGTACAGGTTTTCTTCTGCTCGTAGCAGGGCTTTTCCAACAGCGATCCTCGTCCTATTTCGCTGTCATGGTTCCTTGGCTCCAACAGAATAATACTCCCATTATTCATTTTACCTTCTAGGCAACCATCCAAAATATCTCACAGCGCTCAGGGATCGAAACATCTTCTGTTACCCCCCAGGCGAAGCGTCTCCTCACATTTTCGATGTAGAACGACTTCTTCTTCATTTATTTTTAAAATTCCCTGTTTGAAGTTTAGTTCAAAACCTTTAGTGGTCATGATGTCCATTCCGAGAATAAGTTCATCTTCGATATCTGCTACTAACACTGGATGTTCAAAACTGGTGCTCCCCAATAACAAAATTAAGGTTTACTTCTCCATGGACAGCAGCGGAGCCCCCGTGCAGCAGTACGTAGTCGCCATTGTGTTGTTTTAACCTTCTTCGATGTTTTAAGAATGTCCGGTCTGATGATAGTTTTCGTCGCACCTGTATCCAACAGCATGGTCCGGAACTCTCCATCAACAAAACCATCCACAAAAAATGCTGTTGAATTTGTGTTGTAGCGAGGCGACTTGAACAGTTTTCGTTGGGGCATGTTGGGTGCAGGTCGACGTGTGCCCTTCATTTCGACCCTTAGTAGTTTTCCGACCTCGACGAAGCCGGTTCTTCGTTCTTCTCCTTACAACGGCTTCGCACGTGTCCCACCTGTCCGCAGTTCCAGCAACGAATCGGTCCCTTCTTGCCCATGTACTGGTCCATTACCTTCCGAACAATCCCTTCCACGGATTCGTCGGAACATTCGTCGATGGCCCGTACTCTTCCTAAAGACCGAGAACTTTGTTTCGCGGCCTCAAATTCTAGGGCACGTGCTAAAGCATCCACCAAGTGCGTTGGGTGGGCTAGGAGAAGTGCTTGTCTTGTCTCGTTGTCACGTAAGCCGTCGGAGAATGCCTGTACTGCCAACCGCTCCATAACATTCTCTGGCGTAGCAGGGTACGCAAGGCGAACGAGGCGGGCTACGTCGGCTTCAAACTCCTGCAGAGACTCATTTGACTTTTGAATGCGATTTTTTAGCTGGGAATGATAGACATGTTCCAAATGAGCTTGGCCGTACTCTCATTTCTAAATGTCGTACCAATTGCTGATAATCTCCTGTTCCGATGGTGACAATGTCTGCAGGATATCAGTCGCATCTCGCAGTGCGACAGTCAAAGCGGTAGCCTTTTCAGCGATTGTCCATCCGTTCGCTCTCGCAGCGGCCTCAAACTGGCAAAAATAATTGGCCCAAGCGGTTTTTCCGTCAAACTGTGGAGGCTTAATAACTGATTTTGAGATATACTTATTTTCGACTAGTTTCGGTGCCTCCGATGTTTCTTGACATTTTGGTGAATTTGCCTTTGCTATTTCTTGTTTTAAAATTTCGATTTTTCTATTTACATCTTCCTCAATCTCTGTTATTTTATTGTTAAAACTTTCTTCCAAAATTACTATTTTATTATTAAAGCTGGCCTGTATATCTTTAGAATTTTCGATGATCTTATCTTCTAATGTATTGATTAAATCCTGGGAATTTTCCATAATTTTATCACTGATTTTCTTCTAAATTAAATTCCAAGTCAATTATTTTACTATTCAAATTGTTCAAGTTGTCGTCTAATTTTTGTGTAGGCACGAGTCAAGGTCACCTTCCAACTCAAAGCAAAATGTGTCAGGATCCTCACCTTCCTCCACCAAAACGTCTCTTAGTCTAGCTTGCAAAATGCTTTTCTTTCCATCTGTTTCGCATTCCCTCTCTTCCAGAACGCTTTTTAATTCCGACACTTTCAAGTCTTTCAACAATTTTTTCGGAGCCATTGTCTGTCTTTTTATTTTACTAGTCTATCACACACGCCACACTTGACACCAATTGTTACGTTTTTCGTCGGTTCCGTGTGGATAGAAAGTCACAATTTATTTAAACACTATTTATTTAACACTAATTAACAAAAAACAATAACGATAAAAGACTTATAGAACTATTTACAAACGATTTATAACTAAGAATTTATTTTGAATTTTAGCGCGTCGACTGTATATTTATAACTGCCCCTGTAGGCCACCGCCGCCGGCTTTTATACCAACAGGTAAAGAACTCTAGAATTGTCCATAGATCGTTAGGTGCGTAGAGAAGGTTTTCGAATGTTCTCGTATGTACTCGTCCATTCCAGTGGGACTCGATTCTTCTCGAACGAATGAATCATTGCGGTGTCTATGCGATGTTAAGGTCATACGAGGGCGGGCCATATTGTGAGGTTAGGTCGAGTCCACACCGGCTCGCAACAATATATTAATAATATTATTGTTATTATTTAATTTCTCTGCAGAAAGCAACATATCTAAAATCTGTTCTTATCAGTAATCTGCAACCTCAGTTTATTGGAGACTACCTATTTATTTATCAGGTACAGTTGGTAATATCTTAAAATCCATGTTTTTGAATTAGCAATCTGCTCGAAAAGTACTAATCACTGGAAAACAATGAAAACCAATACAGACGATTACTGATTGACCATAAAATATTACGAATACCCATTACAGATGCAGATTAAATTAATCCTATTTACAAACTTGCGAAGAAAGAAACAATATTTAGAGCGCATCGTAAATCGCCGACGTATTAGTCTAATACGTACGCAGCACCCGTACTATCCCGAGCGGCTAATGTGTCGGCGAATTCCGAATATGCAGCCCGGCCGCGGCGTCGAATATGCCCATGGTTGGCAACAATGAATTTAAAAATCGCGCCCTTGATTACATAACTAAAAGTTTAATGGGTATCAAGAATAGCTTTCATTAATTAATAGATAAGCAGCTTTCTAAGAGGGCTTAAATGGCTTCCTAGAAAGTTGGGCCATATTTGGTTAAGTGGAATTCAAAAACCGTAAGAAATTTATATCAATATGCATAGAACTTTAGGTCATAGAATATAGAGTTACTAGTGCCAACAAAGTTTCACGGGATGAGTAAAACGAAATTTGTATTGAATTGAAGTCTTGGAATTTTTTTCAAACAACTTAATGAATTATTAGAATGTAGAGGCATACACCCTTTCTTGGGGAGTTTTTAAGAGATCAGAATATGAAGCCAATGATATTGCAAATATAAACAAGGAGGTTTAATAAAAGGACTTGGGTGGAGAAATTTTAAAGTAGGTAGGTAGACATATTCAGTTATTGTTACATTTTTGGGTAAAATCATCCCAAAACATATTTAAGTCGTCCATGTTTATGTAAGGATACAAGTCCATATTAGTCCAGTGATATTATGCTTTAACTATATGAGATACGATAGCTCGGATGCGAGTCAATTAAACAATGTCGCAGTATCAGGGATCTGTGATGAAGAAAAAAAAAACAGTTTGTATTTATTTTAGGAGTAATCAGAGTAGCGTAGACAAAAAAAACAGAAACTGTCAGGAGGATAAAAGATTTAAAAAAATATGAATCCTGAAAACATCTCATATTTATTTACGTTACCTCCAGGGTTAAAATATATGCCAGAGACTTAACTAATACATTAAAAGAAGAATATTTTTGTTAGGCAAATATTTAGACACAGAGATCAACATTGACCCAAACAACATGTTCTTCTATAAGCAATATACTTACTTCTTAATATTTACTTTTACAAAAATCTAATATGCTATCCTATAATACAAAAATATTCTATTATTTAAGAGAAAAAAATGATGCAGTACAAACCTGAATCTGGGGTAAATTTCAAAGCCTGATTGAGCAGCAGTTCATAAATATATTCAATATAAACAGATATTAATAATCCAAAACTAATAAATGTAATTCCTCCTATTAATAGACAGAGTTGTGTGCATTGCTTTCGTTTTGTCATAATTGGCGATCTGAAAAAAATAAATAGATAATATTAATACAGTCCATTATATACAGGGTGAGTCTTAAATAAGTGTAAATATTTTTAAGGATAGTATATTTCGACCCCAGAAACACGTGTATGAGGTTTTTTTTACAAAAAAAATTTTGAAAATATGGAATTTTTTTGGAAAATTTTCTAATTTTTAGTTAAAAAATATAATATCCTTATAATATTGCAACATAGGTAGTAGATTAAATTTACAAAAATGAAAACCCAGAAAAGATCCATTGGTTTTCAAAATTTACCCAAAAATAATTTTTTTTTAATATACATATTATCGATTTATTTGAAAAACGATAAAGGAGAAAATATGTTTCTTGTATACCGGGTGCACCTCAAAAGTGGCTCACCCCTATAACTTTTATATTTTTTTAGGTAAAAAACGAGATTTGGTATGTTAGTATATGACATAAATTAGGATTGATTGACGTATTCCATTGTTTTCGGTCACTTCCTGTTTTACCGGAAATGACTACAACTTTTGATTTTTAAATTGCGCCCTTGGTATTTTTTTACTTTATTCGATAGAAAATGACACTCTGAATCGATTGACATATCATATGTCAACTTTTGACATATTCGCTCAAAAGCAAAGTGTATTTTAAATTTCAATCTAGAGTGTCATGCCTGTTTCACCGGAAATGACTAATTTTGAATCAAGGAGCCCAAAAAGGGGGTCAGTTTAGCTTAAGTTTAGATTAGGTCTATATTTTTATTAATGCAAAACCAACTAAAACCTAATTCTAATCTAACCTAAACTCACTTCTTTTTTTGCATATTTCGGGATATTACCTGGGTATTCCTATGCAAATTTAAATTTGTGGATGGCCCATAAATTTAAATTCGCCGTTCAAAAAAATTACTTTTCACCAATTTTCACAATAAAAATTAAAAGTTATAAATCATAATATTTTTTTTATAGAAATGAGGGAATAAGGGTGAACGGGATGCCGGTAGACCAAGAAGATACTTGGAATGTAAATGTTAATTTATACTCGAATGGAGTTGCCTCAGAGTATAGGCATATTTTGAACCCCTACCGTGCATAGTTACTGTAGATAAAAATAAATGAAAATATAGTTGGCCCCAACGATAATTTAGTTTGCAGCTTCTTTTCATCATACCTAATAAAAAACCGTCACAACCACTACTCATAATATGTACCTATGTCTTTTTAAACATCATTATGAAATTAAAAATACATAGGTGCCCATAATATGAGTAGCGGTATTTTTTTTTCGTTTCATCATAACGGATTGTGTTGTGCTGAAAATAAGCAGCAAAATATATTATCGATTGCAGCAACTATACCTAGTTTACATTCAGCATGTCCAATTAATATAGAACATTAGAACTATGCATACTTTTAATTTTTTTTTTAATTATTTGTTAACTTCTTAAACAAAACAGACCCATAATAATTCAAATCTTTATCATCCAAGACTTCCAAGAATTATAAAGTAATCTCACGTCAAAATTTTTTAAAATTATTGCAAAGTTAACAAAAATATTTCTTTGGATACCTTGCAATTAATATATTTGGTCCAATTTATCAGTTCTGCATCATATCAGAAATTTAGATTGTGTGTGATACAACGAAGAGTCAAAGTGCAACGTGAACGACCAGAAAAATATCAAGTAAAAAAAATTGTTAAGTTTTAATTACTAGTTACACAGCCCTTCCCTTGAGTTCTCTTGCCTAAAATCTATATTGTCTTTCCTAACATTTTAAATATAAATGATTGAAACTCATACAAGTTTACCATAATTTAAACTTAAGATAATACCTAATTATGTTAAAATATAACACTTACGAAGTTAATAAATATTAACTATTTCTACTTATTTTTAATCATTAAATAATTCTGATAAAAACACGTTTGATTTTTTTAAATTTAGAAATCATACGGGCTATAATCATTAATATGACTATATTAACAATACTTAAATTAAAATGTATTTGAAGGAATGCCACTGTATTACAATAATTGTAAAACACGTATGTAATAATAACTCGGAATAATATAATTATTTAAAACTGCTCATCGCGTTATCGATGTCGGCGTCTTGTCACTTTTATTTAGTCTTGTCACTATTATTTTATTAGCCGTTTAGGTATAGTTTGATTTCACATAATGCAGATTTTAATGTGCCATTTGTGGTTTTTTTATTTGATTTTTTTGCATATTTGGTATATTCTATGAACTGATTTTAAGTGCTCCTGACCATTTTTCAATTATTAAAGTGCCCATTTAGATACATTTAAAATGAATTAATTAGTGTATAGTATTTGTATTATGAGTTTGTTTATTTTTTATGAAATGTATTTTTTCCCATTAAAATAAACATAGCTTACTAGATCACTAGCTAGCCATTTTTAAATACTGATTGTTAATTAAGTATCTGACCAAACTTCAGGAGGTGATTCTTTGAGTGTTTTAAGGTAAAAAGTTCATATAAACATGTATCCGGATATGTATAATTTTAAAGATACAGGGGTGTCAAGGTGTTTTCTAATAGACCTTTTTTATTAATATCTCAAAGATCCGTTGGCCGATTTTGTTGAAATTTTGCCATGTTGTGAACTTTGATAAGTTAGCACTAATTAAATGATAATTATTATTTACAACAATATTCAAAGGATAAAAACTTATTCCAATAAATATTTGGCAACGCCTTGGATTCATTTGTTTTTACGCCTGTTGGCGGTGGAAACCATGCAAGCTTTTTCTTTGTCCTAAGTTGTCAATTAAAAAAATGATAATCATAAAAAATATAGGTCCTAATAGACTAAATTTTAGCAAAATGTATCAGCATATCCGATGAGACCCGAGTTATTATGTTTTGGAACTTAATGATTTAATTAATTATTCCCTGTAATGCATTTACCTATCCTACGCGCCAAGAAAAAATATTGCATTACTCTAAATTTATTATTTATGTGATTCCGCTCTTTCACGTATAATTTGCGCCTTGCTTCTCATACGGAAAGAGTTAGATTAAAATAGCCAAACTGTACCTAACAACCAATATGCCTTGACGCATATTCTTTTTTATAATAATATGGGCTTTCTTTATCCGCCGGCCCAGACAAACATCCATATCCATAAAATAGTTGGCCCATACACACACACACACACACACACACACACTGATAAATTAATAAGACCTCATTTCGGCCCTCAAACGTCTTTGCTCTATTCTAAACTATCGACTTACGTGTTGACAAGTTGATTAGGCAGGTTATTGAACTCGTGTGGCATCGAGCATGTCGTTTTTTCAAAGACGGGTCCCATATAAATGCGGCCAGAAGTATTTTCAATACTAAAAAATTCCGACCGCAGCGCTGTATACGGCAGAAATCAGAAATTTTAACTAACCTAATCAAATTACAACCTGACCGTCCCGTTCATGTTGATCGCATTAAAATAATATTGAAATCGTGGCTTTGTGATAATATTTAGGTATTTTAGTTGTTTGCTAGTGCAGTTATTGATACTATAAAACGCTCAGGTACTACACTAGGTACAGTATACCAATTACAGTTGAACTAATCTAAAAATTCTTTTAGCGGGAATAATAAATTATAATACACGTTAGACCCTCGGTTAGACCTTTTGAAGATATCAAAATATTTACTCTTTATTTTAATTTTTAGAATTTTGACAAATTATACTTCCTAACACTTTTAGAATAATTATATAATAAATTTTTCGTATACTCGCTATTTAAACCCGTGTATTTGTATATATCAATTGTTTACGATATTCTCCGATGGTGGCAGCATCGGCGGAGAATGCATCAAGCCTATAGAAAGTATTAAAGGCCTCAGGCAAGGATGTACAAGGACCAGCAATAGTGCGTCGGGCATCCTAGAATAAAAAACTTCAGAATTTAAGTGCAAACCTAAAGTATGTACCAGAATGTATTTCAGAAAAATATTTTAACTTATACAAGGTGGCTCAAAAAAGGGTGGGCGGATCTCGATGATTGTTTTTAAATGGAACACCCTGTAATTTATTCCATTTTTGGCTTCCTTTCAGAGCCCTTTACATAAATCTAAGATATGAGTAAATATATTTCGATAGTTACAGAGAATTTAATAAATAAATTTAAAAAAAAAATATATTTTTCAGCCCTTCTTGAAAAAATTACTAAAAACACAAGAAATGTTCTGAAATCAAAACTGTATTAGGTATTTACTTTAGATGGCCTGTTCATACTTTGCTATAAATATGGTAATGGTAAATCATACAGGATGTTTTTTCTACGCCAAACTTTCTGAAATAATAATTTTTCTTTGTTTTTTTTAATGGAACACCCGGTACATTATCTAACAAAACCTAGACACTTTGATCTTTACCGACTCGAGACGGGACATTGAAAAGTCTCTGAATTTTGAAACTACACAAAAATGAGACAAAAATGTCGCAGAAATGTATTGGATTTGTCTCAATTTTGTCGTAAAACATGCATGTTTCTGTCTTGTCGTTGTTTTGTCTGCTTGGTCTGGACCCGGCATTAGGCTATAAAGCCAAATTCGTTAAAGTCGCATCCACGAATCTGGAATACTTGAAATACATTTGATGACAATAGTAACTGACCGTCTGCAGCGTGTTGTCTGTCAGATAAGTGAGAATCAGGCTTTACTATATACATTTCAAATGTTTAAATAATTATACATTGTTAAGTAGCAGTTTTTGAGTACCAGGTGTGTAGAAATTATCTCTGATGTACATAATCGATATTTTGAAGTGTCTGATGTTTTATACCTATGACACTTATACCACCCTTACTTGCTCGATAAAGATAATAATTCAAAATTTAACCTATATGACAGGCATATTTACATTTTATTCGTTTTTTTCGTTATTTGTTTTATACTTTTCATTACAAAATTTTAAAAAATAACCCCAATTTTATGGAATATTACGCAAATAGATAACAATAAAAACCTTATCTGAATTGTTGTAAAATGAAAATAAACATATTTTTATTAGTGATGGGATAATTCGAGCGAAAATTCGCTTGAGTACTCGATTATTGAAATAACCGACATCGCTCGATTATGAACGAGCGATGCAAGTGACGAGTACAAAGCGACGAACGCAAGCGATCCTAGAATGAAATAAATTGAAATCCGATTTTAATGTGACATATTCCATAAAAAGCCGAGCGAATTTTCTACATACATTGCAATTAGCAAATTTATACAACGCCGTATATACCGGGTGCGTCTCCAAAGTGGTTCACCCCTATAACTTTTTATTTTTTTAAATACAAAAATGAGATTTGGTATGTTAGTATATGACATAAATTAGGATTGTGTGACGTATTCAATTGTTTTCTGTCGCTTTCTGTTTCACCGGAAATTACTACAATTTTTGATTTTTAAATGGCACCCTCAGTATTTTTTTACTTTATTCGATAGAAAATGACATTCTAAATAGAATGACGTATCATAGTCAACTTTTGACATATTCGCTCAAAAACAAATTGTATTTTAAATCTCAATCCATGTATCTGTTAAAAACACTAATTTTTAATCAAGGAGCTTTGGAAAAATAGATTTCATCGTCTAACGTTTTTAGTGTCTTGTCCTGGCCGATTAAAAGATGCCCAAATCGTATTTTTGTTCATATCTCAATTTTTTTCAAATGGAACAAGGATGGCTCATTAGCATATTTCGAAAAAGAATTATTTTACGAATAATTTGATACCACACACTTGGTACTTCCAGTCAAATTTTCGTTATGAACCGCATGTTACAATTTAAATAAACCATATGCGAAAATGTCAAAGTTGACAGGTGATATGTCATTCTATTCAGAGTGTCATTTTCTACCGAATAAAGTAAAAAAATACCGAGCGTGCCATGGACAATGCTTCGAAATAAACTAAATCTAGCGATCAAGCGAATCGTTCGCTGCTTACTACTTGCCGTTCATTACCGAAAGAATATGTGCCCTGCGCACGCAACTTACTGCTTGGCGCTTGGCGTTAACGAGTACTTACAACATGCGAGGGTGAAAACCGCATTTTTAAATACGAGTGATATATCGCTCGAGTGATCACTCGGTTGTTGCAATCGCTTGATACTTGAGTACTCGATTATTGAAATTAATCGGTTTTTCCCATCACTAATTTTTATGTATTTATCTTTTATTTTTGGCACAGTATGTATACGGGTGGTGACAATTTCAATGCTCAATATTGGCTTACAATTTCAGAACTATTGTATCTATTTCAACGTATAAGTTGATAATTTTATACTTTTAACCTCGGCCAATTAAATGTAGCCTTTTAGAAATTTTCTAAAAGGTTTCTAGATTTCGCGCAACAATAGTCAGGTTCTTGTTTTCTTATAGGCGCCATTTAGAATTTTTAATAAATTAAACAGAGTGTGGAAAAAAATACATATGGTCTTTTAATATTAAAAAAGGGCTGAATTATAATATTATAACTACTACTGCCATTACTCGCTGACGAGTATTTGACACGCATTAGAAGATGGTTATGCAAGGCGTTTTTTTTCATGAGCTTTTCTGTGACTGGAAAGCCCGATACGTGATGTTATCTCTCTTGCGTACTCCAGACTTTCAAAAATCTCATTGCTTTGTTGCCTCTTTACTTTTTGGTTGTCGCAACAAACTGAGTTTACAATTCTTTTCAATTGTCGTTCTATTGTGCGCTGCTTCTTCCCACTCATTCTGCATGCTAATCCCCTTTTAGTGAAAAATATCCTTGTACCTCAAAAACTCAAAAGTTGTCCACCCGGTTTCCTCTTATATTCTACACGTTCACTGTGAAGCAGAGATTTTGGTAGGCGGTTTTCTTGCATTCTACATACGTGGCTAGCCGATCTTAAGCGGGATTTGGTAATCATGACTTCAACGCTCTCGCAACTAGCTTTTTCAAGGACCGATACGTTTGAGACATGATGGAACCATTTGATTCTTAAGAGTTGTCTAAGGTGTCTCTGTTGCAACTTGTTTATTGCGTTCATGTGTCGGCGGTACAGCACCCAGGTTTCGCTTCCATATAACATGGTGGGGATTATTATTGCTCGGTACACTGCAAGTTTCGTTTTTGTGCTCAAGTCATGATTGTAGAAACCCTTGTCTTTTAATTTCCAGAATGCTCTCAAAGCGCTGCTGATCCTGTGTTGAATTTCAGAGTCGATATTGGCTTTTCCGAAATTAAACTGCCGAGGTAATTGAATTTCGCTACATATTCCAATAGTTCGTCTCCGATTTTTATCGTATTGTTGTGATTTTCCGGGTGAGTGTACATGATTGTAGTTTTATTGATGTCCAGACTAATCTTGGATGTTACAACAGCAAAATAATAAAATAAATAAAACACTAGTTCACCACAATACACCAAAACTTTAATTTTGCACTAGACGCGCGTTTTGCTAACCATGGTAGCATCATCATAGATGATTGAAGCATAATAATCTGCTGATAATGCTAACATGGTTAGCAAAACGCGCGTGCAGTGCAAAAGTTGGTGTATTATAGCGAAGTTGTTTTGGTGTATCATAGTGAACTAGTGTTTTATTTTGCTGTATTAATACCAAAAGTTGAAACAACCAACTGTAACTTTATAGTTAAATTTCAAAGGCCAAGAGGGCAATATTTAAAAGGGATTAATAATCTATTATAATTAACTAGCTGACCCCGGCAAACTTTGTTTTAAGTTAATTAATTAGTTGAATTATTTAGTTAGTTAATAATAATTTTTCTGTCAATATGATTTCTAAGGCTTACCCGATATTGGGCATATTTTTGAAAAAACCTTAATTTCCTAAAAATTTTGGTTATTAATGGATCTAAATTGGATATAGTCCTATATAAAGTTTCCATTTGAATAAATTGATTTATGATAATTTTTTAATAGCTCAATTCCGGGACAGCTGCTGCCAATATTATATGACGTTCAAACAATTTCATTTTTGAAATAAACTCGCCAGCAAAATTAACGCATAGTTTGATTTTTTAATTTTTTTGGAAAAACTAAAACGAATTCAAAAGTAAAATTACTATGTATTTGTTAGACAACTCGTTACCAAAATAATAAATTTCAAAGAAATTGTATTAACTAGCTAAACAAGAAGATACAGTGGTTCAAGCAAAACGCAGTACAAAACCATTACAAAAAAATAATCAGAAGGCACGGTTTAATATCGGGTGTTGCCTCCCCTGGCACGGATTACGGCCTGGCAACGTCTGGACATGCTGAGGACCTCATTTCTTATTTCATCTTGCTCGATAGCGCCCCATACTTCCTCTAGTCTTAGCGATAACGCATTTAAATTGTTGGGTTTATTTGGTAGAGCTCGTAGACGCCTATCCATCATGTCCCAGATAGGTTCGATGGGATTGAGGTCTGGGCTATGCGCTGGAAAATCCATCGTCTCGATTTGGACCTCCTCCAAGTAATTGTGGACAATTCTGGCAATATGTGGCCTGGCGTTATCGTGCATAAAGAGAAAATTGTCCCCTGTACAGGGAGCAAAAGGTACCACTTGAGGCTCTAAAATGTCCACAATGTACCTGTGAGCAGTGAGACGGCCTCTCTGAATGATCCGTTCAGAGAGGCCGTCCGATCACCAGTTCCGTTCGAGCTTCCATATTAATGCCGCCCCATACCATAACTGACCCACCACCATAAGCATGTTTTGGTTGTATACAGCATTGCGCAAATCGTTCGCCCGGCCTTCTGTATACTGGAATACGACGATCCTTGCCAGATAGGCAAAACCTAGACTCATCTGTGAACAATACGTTCGACCATTGATGGTTTTCCCAATTTACATGCTCTCTAGCAAAAGCCAGTCGGACTCTTCGGTGCTCTGGGGACAACGGTGGTCCAGTTGCAGCCATTCTGGGTCTCAGATTATCCTCTCTAAGACGTCTTCTTATCGTATCGCTGCTTATTTGTTGGTTATATCGCCTTATATAATTCTGGTGGAGCAATGTAGCTGTCACAAACCTTTCTCGCAGAGTCTGAAGTCTCAAAAATCGATCCTGATGGGCATCGGTTATTCGACCACGGCCTTGGCCTGGTCTTCTCTGGTTATTTCCAGTGTCCTGGAATCTTCTTATTGCTAGCGAGATCGTTGATTGTCCAACCTGAAATCTTTCCGCTATTTGTACCTGAGACAAGCCTTCTTCAAATAATGCAATAACTGCAGCACACTCTTCGGGGGTGAGATTGCGACTTTGACGTACTTTAGGGTTCATTTTACTGATTTAAGTGTTTAACAGACAACAGCCGCGCACTCAAATAAAATGATCTTAAAATAAACGACTTCAAGCATCAGCGAATATACCTGTTTTGGGAATTTATAAAAACTATTGATAAATTCTTATCAGTCATGAAAAAAAGGATCGCCTCAGCAAGAAATAATAAAAAGAAGTAAATTTAGGCCAATATAACTGATCTAAAATACAGACAATCAAACTTATAAGACAATATACGATTATGCATTAATTTTGCTGGCGAGTTTAGATAGCCACGTGTCTTCTCTTTATGTTACAACCAACAGGCAGTTTTTTTTCCTCCAAAAATTATCCTCCAATTTTTTTCTCAAAAACGGTTAATGTTAAGTATAGAGTGATTGGTATCGAAATTCATAAAATTTTACAGAGAATTTAAGTATGTAATAAAAAACAGGGGTACCCATTTAAAATATATGTTGCTGTCAACTTCCTGTATTTTTGGAAATGCCGCCATATTGAATATATTTAAATCGATAGATCTCATTGTGAAACAATGATGTGCAAAAAAATTCCGATCTAGATACTGTAGTTCTCTAGAAACTTCTAATGTACGCGAAGCCTGGGTCATCCTGTATCAAGGTTGGCTCATCGTCCTGCCTAAATTTAAAAAAAAACTACAAGAGAAAGAAAGTCAATTATTTTAAATTAACGTCTCCATTTTATTGATATGGCTAATTAGTAATCTGAACTGCGGTCCTCAGCCATACAGTTCATACCGATTTAGCGAGTTTTACTTGAGTAGTGCGTTTCAATAGATTCTACAATTTTGCTTTGGAACAACAGTACGACAGATATTTTCAGACATCTACCAGTTCAAATATTTCCATCGTCTTTGTCGCTTGATATTCTATAATTAAAAATAGTAAAATATTTAAATAATTTAATAATTTACCTGTAATAACGCAACTATTCAGACACAAAAAATCTAAATCAGTTTTTCATGTCTGGAAACAGCTAAAAGAGCGTTCACTTGATGTAAAAGGAAATTCCCATTTATAGAAATTAGTAATCTCCAATAAATTTAATAATTAAAAGCCGGCTTAAATATATTAGACAAGAGAATGTGTTCGATAAAGTTTATCAAATATTACTTTTTTATGATCATCCATATAAGATTAGATATATTATTTAGAAAAATAATAAATGCTGTTAATTATTATCTAATTATACATATACTAAATAATAATTATTAGTACATTGATTTTAATACAGTGATTTTCATTGATAACGAAGGATTATTTTATTACTTTTCAATAGTGCCTCTTGCACTTATTATAATATCAAAATTTTAACAGGGTAGTGACAGTTCTATATCCAAATCTTCAACCACGCTCAATTGTAGTGATGCGCCAATGCAAGACCAAGACTCCTGGGGTAGAACTCTGTAACGAAATAGCGATCGGTAGCGATGAAGAATACTGTCATTGCCATTTAGTTTGTACGGCCAAGGTCAGTATTCTTCATCGCTACCGATCGCTATTTCGTTACAGAGTTCCAGCTCTGTTCTCTTGGTCTTCCGGGGTCCAGTCTTGTTATTGGTCTCGGTCTTGGGCAAGACTCTTGCAAATCTTTTATTAATAGGTTTTACTAGCTGCACTTTCTACATAGAAAAATTACTACTTTAAAAATTCTGACAACATAGCCTTTTCCAATCATAAATAATACATGGCATGACAATTCTCTTTACAAAATGTTTGCAAGTTTCACGAAAAATAGCAGACGTTTGCTAAAACGCCAATTCTTTATCAGCAACAACAAAGCGATATCCCGTTAGCGAAAATGGGACATACTGTGTAGGATTCAGAACCGGAAATCCTGGTACCGAAACCGAGAGACAGTACCGAGACGAGAAGTACCGAGACATCAAAAAACCGGGACTCAAAATTATTAATTCCCAGTTCTTTTGGTACTTTCGTGACTCGGTAATAATAGTTAAAAACATATTTTTTGTTACGTGCGAAAGACTTTTAATACTTTCTAGCGGTCGAAATCAAACTCTTCTAAATAAATAGTGATGCTATCTCTTACTGTTCTTACTTCTGAAGTTATTTTGAAGTTTCTATAATATTCATTAGCAGTTATTGACGTTTAAATATGTTATTTTATTATTTAATATATTTCTGAATGTATTAGTTCTATTTTTTTGTGTTATGTCATCTTTAATTTAATTGAAAATGTTATTTTTTTTCTAATTTAGTTTCGAGGTTGGTTGATGTTGTTTGATGCAATTGTTAAGCTACCTATATGTTTTCTTTTTTTAGTATTGAAAATACTTCTGGCCGCGTTTATATGGGACCCATCTTTGAAAAAACGACATGCTAGAGGCGACATGGAGTTCAATAACCTACCTAATCAACTTGTCAACACGTAAGTCGATAGCTGAATAGAGCAAGATCGTCCGAGGCCCGAAATGAGGTCTTATTAGTGTGGGCCAACTATTTTATGGATATGGATGTTTAGTCTGGGAAAGCCGATATTATTATAAAAAAGAATATGCGTCAAGGCATGGGTTGTTAGGTACACAGTTGGGCACTTTTAATCAAGAGCGGAATAACATAAATAATAAATTTAGACTAATGCAATATTTTTTCTTGGCGCGTAGGATAATGCGCACAATCGATGCATTAAAGCAAAGATTTATGTTAACTATAATATTCTTTGATTAAAGGGAATAATTAATTAAATCATTAAGTTCCAAAACATAATAATTCGGGTCTCATCGGATCTGCTGATATATTTTGATAAAATTTAGGCTATTTGGACCTATATTTTTTTATATGATAATTATTTTTTTAATTATCAACTTAGGACAAAGAAAAAACTTGCATGGTTTCCACCGCCAACGTAAAACAGATGAATTCAAAGCGGTGCCAAATATTTATTGGGATTTTTATCGTTTAAATATTGTTGTAAATAATAATTATCATTTAATTAGTGCTAACTTATTAAATTTCACAACATGGCGAAATTTCAACAAAATCGGCTAACGGATCTTTGAGATATTAATAAAAAAGGTCTATTAGAAAACACCTTGACACCGCTGTATCTTTAAAATTATACATTTCCGGACACATGTTTATATGAACTTTTTACCTTAAAAACACTCAAAAAATCACCTCTTGAAGTATGGCCAGATACTTAATTAACATCCTGTATTTAAAAATGGCTAGCTAGTGATGTAGTAAGCTATGTTTATTTTAATAGGAAAAAAATGCATTTGATAAAAAATAAACAAACCCATAATACAAATAATATACACCAATTAATTAATTTTAATTGTATCTAAAGGCACTTTAATAATTGAAAAATGGACAGGAGCACTTAAAAATAACTTCATAGAGTATACCAAATATGCTAAAAATAATAATTCCAATAAAAAAATGGCGCATTAAAATCTGCATTATCTGAAATCAAACTATAGCTAAACGGCTAATAAAATAATAGAGACAAGACGCCGACATCTATAACAAGATGAACAGTTTTTAATAATTATTCCGAGTTATTATTACATACTTGCTTTACAATTATTGTAATACAGTAGCATTCCTTCAAATAAATTTTGATTTAAGTATTGTTAATATAGTCATATCAATGATTATAGCCCGTATGATTTCTAAAATAAATAATCAAGCGTGTTTTTATCAGAATTATTAAATGATTAAGTAGAAATAGTTAATATTTAGTAACTTCGTAAGTGTTATATTTTAATATAATTATGGATTTAATAATTAAATAATTATCTTAAGTTTAAATTGTGGTAAACTTGTATGAGTTTCTATCATTTATATTTAAAATCTTAGCGAAGACAATATAGATTTTAGGCAGGAGAACTCAAGAGAACGACTGTGTAATTAGTAATTAAGACTTTACAATTTTTTTTACTTGCCATTTTCTTGTCGTTCACGTTGCACGTTGACTCTTCGTTGTGTCACACACAATCTGAATTTCGGATATGATGCAGAACTGATAAATACCAAGTATATTAATTGCAGGTAATCAAAGACATATTTTTGTTAACTTTGCAAACATTTAAGGCATGCAATAATTTTAAAAAAATTTGACAAACCTCATATATATATATATATATATATATATATATATATATATATATATATATATATATATATATATATATATATATATATATATATATATATATATATATATATATATATATATATATATATATATATATATATATATATAATATATATATATGGTATAATATCGGGAGATAAGCGGTAGATCGGGAAGCGTCTGTTTCAATTAAACTCACTTTAATCTAAGTAGCTCTATATTTCGACATCATTTATGTCTTCATCAGGAGCGTCAGCTAAAAACAATTGTCATTACAATTGTAACTTAGGAATAAAAGTTTTTTCATTAAAATACGTTACAACAAATTAATAAAACAAAACAAAAATAATACTTAAAATTAGAGTCAAATTTTACAAAAAAAACATACAATAATGTAAAATAAACTAAACTACTTTGATCTACAAACCACCATTGACAACGTACGTATATAAAATAAACATGAAGTGTATTAATATCAAATTCTTTCGCTTTAGTGAAGAGCGAACGCTCCAAGAAACAAACAACTAAAAAAAACTATAAAAAGATTGTAAACTGCACATTTGCAGGCATCGCATCCCATCTTATTTTTGCTGCTATATTTAAATGTATGTGTGTTATTTTATTTAATTGATTTATAATTCCCTTAATAAATTACAATATACGGAACTGAGGCTGTAAATATCCGATCTTGAATTTATAGCTTTGTTGTTATTAATGTGAACCATTTCCAAAAAAAATCTTTTTCGGAAATTGCCTTCCTGTTCCAGTATAGATGCACTGTCGTAATCAAATTGATGATCTTGGTTTCTGAAAGTGAATAGCTAGTGCACAAGACTTTTTTCCGAGACGGCAGTCACTCTTGTGTATATATATATATATATATA